AATGCGCAGGGTATGGCGAAAATGAAGAAAAAGAAGCATGGAGGAAGGATAACGAATAACATTATCATAGCGGCGATGCCGGAAAAGGCAACAAGGAGTTATCGCTTAATTGTCGGCTTGACCTTCCTGCTATTCCGCCTGCACACCAAACTTCAAGGACCAAGGTGCATGGCGCGAAGCGCCAATGCAGTCTTGGATATATATACATATATATACACACACAGGGCTTGGGACCCCACGCCCCACCCAGCCGAACGAATTTCGACCACCCCGGGCGCCCAAGAGGCCCCCAGGCCCCCAAGAGGTCCAATACGGCTCCAAGAGGGCCCAAGAGCGCTCCATGACGGCCTCAGATGGCCCCACGGCAGTTCCAGAGACACCCAAAAGGCCCCAAGTAGCTCCAAGACGGTCCAAGAAGCCCCCACAAAACGCCCCGACGAGCCCCAAGAGAAGTTGATGGGAGCTGCCCACCGATAATTGAAAGGTGAATAGGTCCTGCAGTGCTGACGCGACGGCGATAGCATCGGTTTCGTAGATAGCCCCACGGGCCCACATCACCTTTTCTGCTGGGTCCATGGTCATTTGGACGACGTTCTACAAACACTTGACTCCTGCGCGGCCTAGTTGGCAAATGGTTCCATGTACGTGACCTGGCGTGCGTGGCGTGCGTGCGTTCGTCGTCCTACGGAGGACAGGGTGAGGACGCCTTCACATCGGCAATCGGTGTTGATTGGACCCAGGACGGCTAGCGCAAGGGGCTCATCCTGCCGGCGGATATGTTGCAAGAGTCGGCTGCCCTCCTCCAGCGTGAAAAAAGAGATGCTGCTGGTGTACGATGTGCCGTCCTCCGCCCTGTTGTGAACAAGCTCGACGGGGACATCCAAGCTGTGCGCATCCGTTGCCCCGGCGGGCGTCGGCCCAGGCCGCGGACCCTGGTGACTCGCAGGTGGAGGCCGTCTTCTGCGTCAGGGAGCGATGCGACATGGTGTAGCAGACCTGGCTCCCCCGCACTTTCATCAGCTCGCCCCTGAGCTCGCGCTGGCTAGAGCGATGCGGTTGGTAAGTGGAGTCGACTTCAGCACTACGCTGATGAGCCAGCTCGTTGTATGCAGCGACTGCTCGGTCGACGCCACCACTGCTCTAGACTGCGGCGACGCAGGCTTCCTTTTTCGGGACAGGTTGCTATCCAGTAAAGTTACCTTTTGGCTGCCCTTGCCTGGTGGCTTGGGTTGCGGAGGATTGGAACGCTCACGGCGGGGACCTTCCGGGACCATGGCGAGCGCGCGTGACTGAAGGGGGTGGGACACGATTCGGCCCTTTTCGATTGGTACGGTTACGGCCTCACCAGGCTGAAGAGAGCGGAAGGTTTCGAGTCGTGGCTGGCCCTGAACACAAGTGCAGATAAGAGAAAGGAGAGGAGAGGAGGAGTGGAGGAGAGGGGAGAAGAGCAGAGGAGAGGAGAGAAAAGGAGAGGAGGAACAAAAACGATAATACATTCGATTACCCCAGTGCGACCCTACCTGGAAGTTGGAGCCCCTAGGAAAGCAGCATTAGTTGCTATGCTATGCTATGCTATGTTATGCCATGATATGCTGCGCTATGCTATGCTATGCTATGCTATGCTATGGCATGACATGCTATGCTATGCTATGCTGCGCAATGCTATGCTATGATATGATAAGCTATGATATGTTATGCTATGATACGCTAAGCTGTGCTATGCTATGCTATGCTATGATATGATATGATATGCTATGCTGCGCTGTGCTATGCTGTGCTGTGCTGTGCTGCGCTATGCTGTGCTATGCTATGCTGTGCTGCGCTATGCTATGCTATGCTGGGCTATGCTATGATATGCTGTGCTGCGCTATGCTGTGCTACGTTACGCTATGCTATGCTGTGCTCTGCTATGCTAAAACTCAGCGAAACTAAGATGGAGATAAGTAAAACTAAGACTATGCTATGCTATGCTATGCTATGCTATGCTATGCTGCGCTGTGCTATGCTATGTTGGGTTTTGCTATGATATACTGTGCTGCGCTGTGCTGTGCTACGCTCTGCTATGCTATGCTGTGCTCTGCTATGCTAAAGCTCAGCGGAGCTAATATGAAGGTAAGCTAAGGTAAGATAGCTATGAGCTAAGATGAAGCTAAGCTAAGCTAAGATGGCATACGCTAAGCTAAGATGAGATAAGCAACGCTAAGCTAAGGGAACGTCGCTGGGGGAACCGCGGAGCGGATGCCTGGGGAACCGCCCGGGGCGTGGAACACTGCCCGGCCCTTTAAGCACACCGAGTAAGAACCCTTCCAGGCAGAGCCTAGGTAGGGAAAAAGACGCATCGGACAAGGTGGAGGAAATGGCACAAGGGGCGAGGGGAACGACAAGCAGCAGAAGGAGCAGGCGGAGGAGCAAGAGGCCAGCGAGGAGGAGGAGGAGAAGGAGGAAGAGTGCAGGAGGAGGAGGAGGAGGAGGAGGAGGAGGAGGGGCCGGCACGGGGAAGCGGGAGGCGGAGGCGGAGAAGGAGCAGCAGCAGCAGGACGCGAGGAGGGCCGGCACGTGCAGCGGCAGCGGCAGCAGGAGGAGCGGGTCCTTCAGCCTCTGCTCCTCCGTCAGCCTCTGCAGGACCTCCTCGCCTCGGGCCACCGCCCGCCCACGGCGGAGGAGCAAAAAAGCCCTCCTCCTCCTCCTCCTCCTCCTCCTCCTCCTCCTCCTCCTCGCCCGCCCACGGCGGAGGAGCAAGCAAAAAAGCACCTGCGAAGCAAGCTCGAGAGTCCCAAGAAGCTCTGCGGATTAGACTGGGGATTCCCAAGAACATCTGCGAAACAAATTCCAACGAACCTGGTCAATCCACGCGAGCGCCATCTACTGGGTTCCCGTCGTCACTGGAGATCGCTCTCGAAAATTCCATCGGCAACGGCCCGGGTTATATTTAAGGGGAGGGGAGGGGGTGAGGGCTGGCCGACAACCGAACCTTTCCGCCTTGGGCAGCCCCACGTATGCCCGCGTGAACCAGCACTGCCCCCCTTTCCGGACCTGTGCCACCGACAATGTCAGGTTATCCCGGGGGAGGGGGAGCTGGACCCAATAACCTGGATTCTCGATGGACCCTGAGAAAACACTCTGCTGTTTCGGCGTTGGTTTCCGACCCCGCGTGGATCGTAGGCTGGAAAGAACTGAACAATTTCGACAAGAAGCACAGGAACACCCTCTGGGCGGCCCAAGACTCCCGCGGGTGCCCAAAGCTTTCGGGGGACAGGAAGCCCCCTTGGGGGGCACCTGCTGGTAGGATGGTCTCTTACTTACAGATCGCTCGATTTCGGCAGATTCCGGGCCACAGGCGACGTTCAACCTTGAACATTCGACGCCGCAGCGACAAGAATATACCATAGGGCGCGCGCGCGCCGCGCGGACTCATCGTCGTAAACCTCTGCGGGACCGCTTCGCTAACGGCGGGGAAGCGAGGCCGACCAGCGCGGACCGTGGAAGGGCACCTCTGGCCGCGGCCTCCCCGATCTGGCCGCCCGCCAGCCTGAGCGGCAGTCCTGCGGCGATTGTCGGAGGCTCTCGCGTCGGCGCCGCGCACGCTTACAAGCCTGCAGCATGCTCAAAAATGGAAGGCGGGCCGTTTTCCCAACATGGCTCTCACCTCGGCGCCACGCACATTCGTCCTAAGAGTCTGCAGCAACTTCCATATGACGGGCAGGCCGCTTCCAAAAGGATTTGCTTGCCTTGGCGCCACGCAAGATCGCAAACGAATTCTGCGACGGCTTCAAGGATGGAGGGCGGCTCCTTTTCAAAATGCGTTTCTCGCCTTCATGCCGCGCTCAGTGGTTTAAAAGTCTGCGTATGACTCTTGGATGGAATGGGGGCGGTGTTCGAAATGCTGCTCTCACCTTAGCACAGCAAGCGCGATTTGCAATCTGGTACAAGAGCCTCAAGGATGGAAAGCTGTTCGTTTCCAAACTGAAGTTCCCGCCTTTGTGTTTCAACAAATCGCCGCCTTTTCGAAAAGAAAGAGCACACGTCGTTTTCAACAAAGGGCTCTCGCCTCAGCGCCGCGCGTACTCACCCCTTCGTCATTTTTTTAATGGAGGACGGTTGCCTCAAAATGGAAGCATCGCTGGAAAATGCACTTGTCTGAACACACGAAACTTCAACACATGTGGCACTGCACAAGTTTAAGGGGGCGGTTGGTCAAAATGAGGCCCTCGCGTAAGACTCCCTCGAAGCTCACGGCCAAAAGTGTGAGTGTGCGCAGCAGTTACACGAATGAGGGGCGCTGCTCCTTCGAAAGAGAAACTTCGCTGGACATTTGGCTGACATAGATTGTCGCGTTCTTGAATATGCGCCAGAAGGATGAAAACCCCTTCCTGTCCAAAGCGAGACCCTTGCCAAACTGGCAGGCCAAACTGCGCTCGTCGTTTACAGGGGGCGCTTCTTGCAGTGTAAAGAGAAGTTCGCAGGGACGTATGAGGAGGATCTGTGGGACCGGGGGGTGATGTGCAGCATCGTTGATGCATCTTGGGTTTGCGCTGGTCCCCCTCCTCCTCCTCGTCCTCCTCCTCCTCCTTCTCCTCCTCCTCCTCCTCCTCCTCCTCCTCCTCATCAGCATCCTCCTCCCGCTCGTCCTCCTCCTGCCATTCCTCCTGCTCCTCCTCCTGCTCCTCCTCCTGCTCCTCCTTTTCCTCCTCCTCCTCGTCCTCGTCCTCCTCCTCCTCCTCCTCCTCCTCCTCCTCCTCCTGCTCCTCCTCCTCCTCCTCCTCCTCCTACTCCGCATAGTCATCCTGGAACCTGGATCCTGACGGCATTAGAGCTCGTCACACAAACGCTGCTCGACCCCCCCCAACCCCCAGCCCCCCCCCGCGTGATGGGCCCATCTTGATCAGCTGGGACGAATCTCAACCAATTCGCATTTCGTATTTTATCACCAGTACGGAATGTCAAATTGGCACGAATTCCAACAGGCGACGTAGCCTCGCTGTATGATTGAAGCTGTGAGACGATGCTAGAACGTCACGTCTGAAAACCACGTAATCTGCGCATGCGCGCACATGAAATCCAGAAACTCACATGGCTACCCGGTAGGAAATGTGTACCGAAACCGGCTTGCGATGATGTGGGAAACGCGATGTAGATGCGGATGGCAGCGTCACTGGATAGGTACTGCATTTTCTGGCACAGAAGCGACAGTCCCCCGGACAGCCCGGACAAGGGTTGTCCAGGGTTTTGACTTAAGGATTTAAGAACTTGAAGGCTCAAGGGCTCAAGGTCTCCAGGGCTTAACAGTTCAAGTGCCTCGGGGCATAAGCGCTCAAGCGTTTAAGTGGTAAGTGTTTGAACGCTTAAGGGGTCTCAGGGGTTAAAGGCTTAAGGGCTTAAGCGTTTAAAATTTTCTGGGATGCGAGGCTCATGGACTGAGGGGCTGAAAAACTAAAGGGCTCAATGGTGCTCCAGAGATGTTACTTCAATTTCTGAAAGTTTCACTCTAGGGCTTAAGGGCGCGAAATTCAAGGGATTAAGTTTTCACGGGCCGAAGGGCTTCATTCAACGGCTCCAGGGCTTCAGGGCTTAAAGAGTAAGGGTTTCAAAGATCACAAGCATAAGAGTTTCAGGGGCAAGGGCTTAGGGACTTAGGGCTCAAGGGCTTAAGCGCTTAAGGGCTCAAAGTATAAGGATTACGGAACGGCACCCCGGTCAAGGCCCTCGACGACCATCCTAGGATTTGGGAGCCACGGGAGACGGCCGGAGGAGGAGGAGGAGGATAAGGAGGATAAGGATGAGGATAAGGCCGTCGGGGGTCATGCCGTCTGCGACTCTGGGCACTCTTGACCCCTGGGAAGGACCTGGAAGCACCCCCTCTCGCCGACGATCGTCGGCCCGAGGAACTGCCTGGGGCGGGCGAAGCGGGGGCTGCTATACACGGGCCCTCCGCCTCGCTGCCCCGCTGCAGGGGCCCCTGCACCGTGAACAGCATGGGGGGGGGGGGAACAGGAGCCAGCAGCTGCCACAGCGGGGCGGGCGGCTGGCTCTGACGGCCTCCACTCTCCACCCCTCCCCCGCTCCCCCTCCCCCCGCTCCTCCCTGCAACCAGGCAAAAAAAGGCGGCCTTGTACTTGTCGCACATGCCCATCCCCACTGCCCTTCTCTCTCGCAACAGCTGATATGGAGGTACCGCACCACGCTGGTCGCGGCAAGGAGTGCTGCAGAGCAACTGCGGATCTGCTGAGCTAGTGGGAGGAGGAGGAGGAGGAGGAGGAGGAGGGTTCGACACCGGCTCGAGGCAAAAAACGGGCTCGAGCCAACAAATGCTTCAGCCAAAATGGCTACGGTGATGGAGCGGGCTAGGAGAAGTAGCGGGGAGAAGGACGAAAGAGTGCGGGCGGGCATCCAACACGAAGGACCAGGAGAGGGAGTTTGATGGAAGCTTGGGCTGGGCCGCAGCCCAGCCAAAGCTTGAGCCCGAGCTCCTACGAGGCGCCCAAAGGAAGAACGACGGACGGACGGAGTCTGAATTACGCCTCTCAGAGACGCCTGTAAGACGCCTCTCAGAGACGCCTCTGAAAGATGCCCGCAAGACGCCCACAGGGCGCCCGCCCCCGAGGCCAGGCGGGGAGGAGGGGAGAACGGGAGGGCGGCGGAGGGACCTGCGGAGGTCTTGACCCCTTCCCGGGGACATGCTTTCCATCCCGCATCGTTTCTGTACGGTCCCGTTGCAGCGAGACGAGGTGGGAGGGCGCAGAGGGCAGCCCAGTCCTGGCCGGCTACTCAGACTCGGCTTGTAGAGGCCTCGGAGTAGACGGGGTCGGAGGATCGCGCCACGTCGCTGATACATCGGCGATGCATCGGTGATGTATCGGCGATGCATCGGCGATGCACCAGCGACGCATCGGCGACGTGGGCGATGAATCGGCGACGTCGGCGTGAAGCAAATCGGGCTCCGCATTGAGCCATATCGGCGATGCATCGGCGATGCAACGTGATCCTCCGACCCCATCTAGGAGTCTTAGAGCTTAAGGTCGATTGGCTCGACCCCCCCCTGGACCAGGTCCTCTGCAGGCTCGAGAACAGACGCAAGGTCTGGCAGGAGTCTGCTCCTCCTGTACCTGCAGCAGCTCTCGAGGCCCAGAGCTGTCACAAGAAGACTCGGGACGAGAAGCTGGTCCTAAAAGCCTCGTCAAAAATCGACGGACGGCTTCTATTTTCGGTGCTTGCGCGGCTGGCGCTGCTTCAATACTGGCGTAAGATTTTTGGCCCAGACGCAGAGGTGCCGAAAAACAGCAGCGCCCTCACGTTATGGAAGAACGCGTTTTTGGACAAGTGCCCGAACTGTCGAGCGCTTCGGTTCTGCACGGCGCGTCGACTTGTTCTTGGCGAGGCTCGCAGGAAAGTGGCCGAGATGTCCAGCAGGGCCCCCCACACTCCTAGATATAAAGTGATTGGAGGTCTGGGGCCAAAGAGGGTGGGAGCAAGGGGGCGACCTTTCTGAGGAGGGAGGGGGGCTCTTCGAAGAGTTCCGACAGCCCTGCATGTTGGAAAAATCGTCGAACCATACTTGAAAGTGGTCGAGAAATCGTCCCCAGACTATGTTTTGACTATTTTTGAATCTTCCCCCTGTCGAGGGACACGCCCGACTTGACCCTACATGTTCGATTTCGGGACCCTGGACCTGTCGACTCCTTCCCTGGCTCTCCGTCCCCAGCCACCTTTTGCCTGCGCCAGGGCCCGAAACCGGCCTCCGGAAGCAGAAAGCACACACGACAAAAAAAAAAGCGGACTCCACATGTTCGAGCCCGTTGTTTGCCACGAGGTCGCGGCTTCTCCTCTCAACGACGCCAGGCGTCGGGACCTCGAGCAGCCCAGGGCCGCACTACGAGCCGAGCCGAGCCGCCTCTGAGCCCGGTGCGCTCCCGCTTCTCCTCCTCCTTCTGCTTCCGCTCCACCTGGCGGCGGCGGCTTTCGGGTAGCGGGCGCGGCCACACCCTAGACCAGCAGAATCGACAACTGCACAAGCACAACCATTCGAAGCTCCGCGCGGAACTCCGAAAAATTACGCTTATGCTGCTTGTTCGTCTTCGACGATCTCCAGAAATGTCGCGCGGATTGTTTTTGCTTCAGTCCCCGCAGTGTGCCTCCATCTTGACCTCCCCTGGGCCAGCTGTCGGGCTCTAGGGCCACTGAAGACGGGTCCTCGAGGACAGCTGCCCATGGGGGAAGGGCCGAGACCTCTGGGACCCGTGGATCGGAACAAAAATGCATCGATGCACGGGCTATGGTGCTGGGCACGGCCACCCCGCGTCGTCATGTTTTGCTTGCACGGGTCCCAACTCCAACTCCTCCAGTTCAACGACCTGGCCCTTGAGCGTCTCCACGGAGATTGGGAAGGCCAGGACTTCTGAAGCGAATGATTCCGGTTTGCTAACATACCGAGATACCCTTCAGCTAAATCCGCCGACCCTGTCGGCGTGTGGAAGAGGCTTCTCCGTCTGTTCCCTCTTCGTCGTCGTCGTCGTTCCTTCCCCTTTCCCCACAGCGTCGTTGCTTCTACCCCTCTCCCAGGGCCTCCTCCTGAAGCGTGCCAGTCCAAAGCGAAATTGAGCAACGTCGTAATTGAGTCGAAGGGAAGCCCCTTCCCTTCGATCCCTTCCCCGCCGGGGGGGGGGGGTCCCGGGGTGGGTCCCGGGGGGGGTCCCGGGTTTTTACGCCGCCCCCCCGGAGAATCCCGGAGCCCAAAAAAGCCCCAAGACGGGCCAGGAGTGCCCCAAGAGGTCCCCAAGACGATCCAAGAGGGCCCCGAATCGCCGAATGATCTGTCCAAGACGCCTTGACGGCCTCCAGACGGCCCAAGAGGCCTGCGAGACGCCCCAAGAGGCCTCCAGGACCGTTCCCACGAGAGCCCCAAGAGGCAAAAATCATGGATTTCCCATACGTTTTTCAAGAATTTTGGCGTTCTCGCCTCTTCCGCTTCCCCACGCGCCAAGACGGCCCAAGAGGCCCCCAAGGTCGCCCCGAGACGGCCCAAGAGGCCTCCAAGAGAGTCCCCAAACGGCCCAAGAGTGCCCCAAGACGGCCCAAGACGCCTCCAAGACGGCACAAGAGGCCCCCAAGACGGTTCCAAGAGAGTGCCCAGACGGGGGACCCGAACGGACATTTCGAGCCCTCAGCCCCGAGAAGCCCCCAAGAGGCCCCCAGGAAGCCCAAAGAGGCCCCAAGAGGCTCCCAAGAGGCCCCCAAACATCCCCCCAGAGGCCCCCGAGAGCGCTCGGAAGAAACCCCAAGAAGCACGTTTGAGGACTCAACCCACGTCAGCATCGTCGTCGTCGCTACCGCCGCCGCCGCCGTCGTCGTTCCCCTTCAGGGTCGGCGGCACCGGCCGTAAGGCCTTCGCAATACTCCTGGCCCGCCAAGGGGCCAGACTGATGAATCCAAGTAGCTGCGGACCCGCATTTTGTTTCGCAGCCCAGGGATGAGGGGCAACGATATGGGGGGACTGGCTCAGGGGGAGAAACATCGACCTGGAATCGGCGATACCTCGACGACACATCGACGAAGGCCACCGATAGCGAAACCGCACGCTCCTGGCCGTGCTGGGCAACCATGCCCCTGTCGGCGAGGAGTGGGCGGCTGGGGGTGGATGCATCCCCCTGCAGAGCCGATCCCCCCCGTGATGCTGCCCCCGAAGCGACGACTTTCTCGGAGGCCCGCTTCTGCTCTTCGGGCCGCACCCGCGCCCCACTCGTGGCCGCCGTGCCCCGCGCGTGGCAGCCGCGCCCGACCTGCGCCCCGCCTGCGGCAGCTGTGCCGCAGCGACGCGGCAGCCCACGACCACGCCGCACACGCCAGGACCAGGAGCGGGCCCCCGGGGAGAGAGAGGACCACAGGGCTCCCCGCAGGACGCCCGGGGGTCACAGGCGGACTCCGAAGTGGCCTCCGGGGGCCCCCGCAGGTCCCCGGGAGAACCTCTGGAGGCCTCGAGGCCCAAGCAGGGCAGAGAGTGTCCAAAGGCCTCTGCCCCTGACCCCCGATCACGCGGGATAGCGGCTCGGCGCAAGAGGACCAGACGCCCACGCGCTGCGCTCGGAGAGCAGCGTGGGGGCTCCTCCCCCGACGGGGGCCGAGCTCGCCTCGCCTGCGCACCGCGCCGTGTGTTGGAGCGCCTTTGGACGGTGCTTGTCCACGACGGGCCCTGAGATCCGGCGCCGCGGGAAAAAAAAAAGAAGTGCGACCCTACCTAGAAGATGGAGCTCCTGGGAAAGCAGCATTAGTTGCTATGATATGATATGATATGCTATGATATGCCATGCTATGCTGCGCTATGATATGCTATGAGATGATATGCTATGATATGCTGCGCGATGCTATGATATGATATGATGTGCTGTGCTATGCTATGCTATGCTATGCTATGCTATGTCATGCTGCGCTGTGCTACGCTGAACTATGATATGATATGGTATGCTATGTTATGCTAAGCTGCGCTATGCTATGCTATGATAGGCTATGCTATGCTATCATATGATATGATATGCTATGATATGCTGTGATATGCTATGATATGCTATGATATGCTGCGCTATGCTATGCTATGATGGGCTATGCTATGATATGATGTGCTGCGCTATGCTATGCTACGCTGTGCTATGATATGCTGTGCTCTGCTATGCTAAAGCTCAGCGAAGCTAAGATGAAGGTAAGCTAAGCTAAGATAAACCTGAGCTAAATTGAAGCAAGCTAAGCTAAGATGAAATGAGCTAAGCCAAGATGAGATAAGCAACGCTCAGTTAAGGGGACGTAACTGGGGGAACCGCGGGGCGGATACTGGGGGAACCGTCCGGGGCGCTTTCCACTGCCCGGCCCCTTTAAGCCCAGAGAGTAAGAACCCTTCTAGGCAGAGCCTAGGTAGGGAACAAAAAAAACAAAAAACCGTAAGAAAAGTACGGACCAGCGCCCTGCACCCCGTCTCTCTGCGGCACCTCTCCGGCGGCCAGATCGCTCTGCGAGGGCTCCGCGGCCCGAGGCCGCGCGAGAAAACTGCCTGGTGCTAAAGAGGAAGAATCTCGGGGGGAAAGCGACGTGGGGCGGTCGGCGGGGGCGACGCCCCGCCGGCCGCAAACGACGGTGGAGCGGCCGATCGCCACGGCCGATACGCTTGCTCCTCCTGCGGTCCAGCCTGCGTGCCTCTACCAAACCTCTCTCCATCCCTCCCCGCCCTCAGCTTCGTCACCTGCATCCTCCATCATCCTACCCCCCCCTCCCCCAGTTCAACGATGTACTGTTTAAGCGAACGATGTGTTTACCCGCTCAACGATGCGCTACTTCACGGGACCTGCGGGGTGGGCCCTTGCCCCTGCTTCGGCGCGGATCCGCCTCGACCAGGGCCTGTCCCGGCTGGTCGCCGTGCGATCCTGCCTGCCTACTACCTCCATCTCCCCCCATGAGCCAAATTGAAGAGTCCATGACATGGCTATGGCAGGTCTTGTTGGTGGAGGGCCGCCTTCTCCCTAGGAAGGCGAATTGTGGCACATCGATCGGATGGATTCGTATGACGTGCTGCATCTGGTCTTTGATTAAACGAGATGTCGTGAAGCCTTGGTCTCAACAGTCCAGCGAGAGTTGGAACGTCGCCCTAGCAGGCAACTCTGCATTGAGGGAGATACTTCTCAAGACACTGTAAGAAAAATCTACGGCAGAGGGGGAGTTTCTTAACCATTTTAGACATCCAGTCTTTTTATGATGCGGTGACGTGAACTTCTCTGGCGCATGCAGCTCGCAAGCCTCAGCTTCCAGCACAAATTCTGGGACTGGAACAACAGCTTTGCACGGTGCCACGGTTGATGTCGCAAATGGGGTCCACCTCTTGTGCTTGTCAGCTGGCGGGCTCCATCATCCACGCGATCCGGTAAGAGTGCGACACATTTCAGCCTTGAGAATCTTACGACGACCAACCCAGGCCTCCAACTTCGTATCTGGATTGGTAATTTGGACGTGTCCGTCGTAGGGTTTGAGAAGTATGTCAACAGGACGTTGACACGAAGAGTAGCCGATACTTGTGACCTCTTGACTTCTTGGCAAAGGAGAAGCTCACGGTGGCATCCACGAGCGTTCGTTCTCTTTGAGGCGAAACCCAAGCAGGCAAAGCAGGTCGTGGCAGCCTTGCGTAGGCAAAGGCACCTCTCCCCCCCCCCTCCTCCAGGCTCCGTGTCCAGGGGTCGACTCAAACGCAGGCTCCCGCCTTCCAAAACCCCGTCTTCCCATGTTCGGGGATGGGCTCATCACAGCTCCTCCTTGACGCGCATCCCCTCCCCGACTCTACCGGTCCCCAACCAGGGCCAATACGGCAGAGGGAAACAATTAGTGAACCCCCCCTTCCCCCCAAACTCAAAGTTGGCACGCGCGGGGGAGACTGCGGTCGAGGTGCAACTCATCAGACCCACCGCCAACTTTGAACATGGGGGGAGTGGGAGGCGTTGACAGATGAATGTGGCATGAGTGTTCGCTAGTTTTTTTTCGAGGCCTGTACCGACACACACACACACACTTTTGATCTGCGGGGCGAGAGCGAACCTCTTCCGCTAAAAGCTAGGCGGGCTACGCACAGCTTTAATTAGAGAGACAGGGCACAGGAAGGCGGGGCCTCAGGCGGCCGGAGCGGGCGGAGCCTGGGGAGCAGGCGGTGCCGAAGTGGAAGTGCAGGAGAAGGAGTGCCGTGGACATGGGCCGAGGGCGAAGACCTGGAAGGCGAAGGAAATAGTCCACACACACACACACACCCTGCCAGAAACAACACAAAATCATATCTGCCGCAAGCTATTGGCCATGCTCGGGCGCCACGCGATCACCTTACACTGCTTGTTCGATAAGGGGGCGGCGGGTGGCGTCCTACTGCCTGGCGTGCGCAGGCCCACCGTCCCATTAAGTCGGGCCTGTCCTCCTACAGGGGGGT